TATTTAGTGGTAAACATACCTAATACTCCTTTCTTCTCCTATGAGGTAGGTTGGGCTGAAGGTGACTGGCTCAGTCATCCAGCCAGCTTTTGTGCCTGAGGCAGGATTAGAACTCATAGTCTCCTGGTGATTGGTCCAAAGCCATCAGGCCCATTTTCATGCCTAAAGTGAGATTAGAACTCACCGTCCATATTGCTGCATTGCATCATCTGGCAGCTACAAATCAACCTAGTCACTAGTGAGAGATGCTGGAAGCTTGAAATCACTAGGAAAACTCCACTCTTAATCTTGTCTTAAATCATGTGGCCTCAGTCATTGCCTCTGTTGAAAGAAAAATCTTCATCAGGGTCCAGTCCAAGCCAGGAATAAACAAAATGGAGACTGCTTTAGAAAGAAGGTTGCAGTTTATTGAAGAAGCGAGCCAGACACAAAGATGGCTCTGGGAAAGCTGACCACATGTAGCAGGGAGTGATGGGTTTTTATAACTTCTGGAGCTTTTGTTTGGAGTTGTTCCTGGGGCAGGAGCACCAAGGACCCCACAGTCCAACTGTGTTGAGCTACAAATATTCTATTCTATGGGTGCTTTTGAATCTTTTCCAACCCAGTCTTATTCAGAATCATCTTATCTTCCATTTTTTTCTCCTCTTCTAACCTTCCTGTTAGGAGTTTTTCTGTGGCAGCTCTCTATGTACCAGCTCCGCTTTTCCCTGAGAAAGAAGATTCACCAGATTCTGGAGAAATTTGCAGATCTTGGTACCAATCCTGAAGAGTGAAAAAGAAGAGGCAAAACTTCCAGCCCATCCTATCTCCATCATATATATGTGTACACACACACACACACACACACATCTTTGCAAATTTAATAACTCTATGATAGTGTTTTCCAAACCTTGATACCTATAAGAAATATGGACTCCAATTCCCAGGATTCCCCAGCCAGTTTGGCTGACTGGGAAATCCTGGGAGTTGGAGTCCACATATCTTAAAAGTGCCAAGGTTGGAAAACATTGCTTTATGAAAATCTATTTTTATAGTAAGTATTCCAGGTTAAATGGGGTGGTGTGCAGATAAAGGGATCCAAAATAAGCAACTTATCCATATTGGATTGGGAAAAAAAGGTATCTCCAAATCTATAGTTAGGTAAAAATATCAGAGCATTTGCACGAGAGGAGAGGAGGGAAACCCAAGCAGAAGACAGCTCCATCCAAACCCTGATTTGCCTTTAAAGGCAAGTTGGAAAAGGTGCTTCTGCAGGTTGTTTGTCCTTTTGAACCCGTCCTTCCTTCTCAGAGTTCCTTTGCTATTATGGCAAGAAACTGGGGGGCATCTGCCGGGGGTCAATGGGTATATGCTGAAAAAGTTCAAATGATGCCTGCAACTATAGCTGCCATCTTGAATTTTACTCTTCTTTTGTGGCAGAAAGAAACATGGCTTTTTCCTTATGGAAATTGTGGAACTTTGTCATCAATGAAACAAGATTTATGTAGTGTTCCCCAGTGCCTTGGAGCCAGGTGGTGGTGGTGGGGAAGAGTTGGAGTTTATTTTTGTCCAACATCCAAAATATTCAATATATCATTCAGTGCCCTTCCTTAGTACTCTAGCTTAGCTTTGCATTCACCCATCAGTTCAATATGTATTTTATTTAGAAGATGCCAATATTAATATTGTTCCTTGGAGGAAAACCTATAGCTACGAGATAGCGGAGGACCACTGTCTTGATACAGTATTGTTGAATTTTTTACTTGCTTAGCATTCTGTACTCCTGAGCATGTGAATCAACCATGCATTTAGCTAGGAAAGAGTCTCTTAGAGTTTTCAATTTCTAAAACAATCCTCTTTTCTTTTTCTTTGCACCTTCTAGCTTGTTCAGAGGACTGCAGTAAGTATCAGACAAGTTTTGACCTGTTACTTACACCAGTGTTTCCCAATCTTGGGCACTTGAAGCTGTGTGGACTTCAACTCCCAGAATTCCTCATCCAGCCATGCTGTCCACACAAGTGGCCAAAGTTGGGAAACACTGATTTAGACTATGCATGCTTTGAGGATTGCTTTTTTGAAATCCAACCCTGACATTCTCTTTTTGCAGCAGTGATAGAAGGACCTATTCTGGACTGCTGGACATGTCTGCGTATCACCACACAGTGTTTTGATGGAGAAGTCTGCGGAGGTATGGATGGAGAAAGGAAAGGGTGATTTTTGCTTTATTCTATGTCTCAACTCATTGCCTTTTGAAATAGTCTTCCCATCTCCAGATATGTTAACATATTATTAGCCATAAATGTTAGCAAGATTCTTTAATCTGGTATGCCTTGTGCACAAATAGATTACTATCCATTCATGCATAATTAAGAAGAGGCTGCCACAGATACAAAATAAGAAGCCCCTTTTGCCAAAAACTGGAAGTTAGTGCAATTTTTGGCAAAACCATTGTAAAATGCAATCACATGACTGTGGGATGATGCAAATGCAGCTGTATTGCTGAGCACCCAAAGTTTGGTCACATCACTCGGGGGGGGGGGCTGTCAGAACTTGGAATCTGGGTTGTAAGTAGCAATAGCACTTACTTATATACCACTTCATAGTACTTTATAGCACTCTCTTTATAGCACTCTCTAAGCCAGAGGTGTCAAACTCACCACGTCACGTGACGTGTTGTGACCAGTGATGGGATTCAGCCAGTTCACACCACTTTGGCAGAACCGGTAGCTAATTTTTTGTTGCCCAGGCCCAGAATGGATTTCTGGAAGTGGCATCTACACAGAGAACCAGTTGTTCACATATTTGAATCCCACCACTGGTCGTGACGTATCACGACTTTTTTCCCATTGCTGGAGCTGGGGTGGGTGCGGTTTTGGCATGACGCATGCAGCCCTTGGGCTGGCAGTTTGACACCCCTGCCCTAAGCAGTTTACACTGTCGGCGTATCTCCCACAACAATCTGGGACCTCATTTTACCGATCTCAGAAGGATGGAAGGCTAGTCCTAAGATTGGTCCGTCATAACTTCAAACTGTCGCAAAGTGACCAATTATAGGTTGGGAACTATCTGTATTCCTCTCTTCTTGCTCCCATTTAAAGATGCCCTTTTAGGCAATTGGACAAATATACTGATGGGGCAGAAAGATACCCTATTCCAGCATTAAATTTTATATGGGTTCACACAAGACTCTAAAACAAAATGCCCGTTTTTGTGATGGAAAGTGCTTATGACTTGAAAATGAGCCCATCAAATTATGGTCTAATCGAGAAATCTTGGTTAAGCAACCCATATATTAACTTACTGTGAAGATTCCTTGCTTCCATGCTGAGCTTTTTGTTAACAAAAAGCTAAAAAAGACTTTTCTCTTCTTCAGTGGAAGACAGACGTCTGGCAGAATACAATGAAATTGTTCTTTATGTGTTCCTTGTTTGCGAGTCTGTGATAACAACTTCAATCATACTTGTGTGAGTAAACACCCCGCTAAGTCCTATGAATTTTCCCAAATGATCAGGAATAAAATCATTAGATTAATTCTCCTTACTTTTGTTCCTAAAAAAATCAAAGGATGTTAGCGAAATGGATTTTCTTGTAAAACTGGCAATTATGCTTACCTCTTAAAGGATCTGGATATTCCCTATTCCATGCATCTCTGGAAGAGTTTCTGTACAAGCACAGAATTAAGATTTATAAAATGTAAACCTTGATCTTTAAAACAAAAGTATAAAAGCAAGAGTTCCAAAGCACATTTTCTCAATTTTGGCAGCATTAAGATGTATGGATTTCAGCTCCCAGAATTCCCTAGCCAGCATGAATTTTGGCACTTGACGTCCACACATCTTAAACTTACCAAGGCTGAAAAACATTGTAGAAAAAAAAAATGGGAATGCCTTCATAGATATGACTATTTTGTCACTTTCCCTGATGTGTATACTTATTTTATGCTTTTTGAAGACAACATTGATGGGTAAGATCATCCTGTGGTATATGTAGGCAATATGAAAACACGGTAGAAAGAAGACAGAAATCTGAAAGGTTTGGACTGAACCTTTCTCCCTTTATTTTTTATTGGTCAAGAATTTATGTAGTTTATTTTATTTGTTTATACGGAGGGTTCTCAACGTATGATAATTGAGATCAGAATTCCTGTTGCTAAGCAAGGTGGCTGTTGAGTGAGGCATGCCTGATTTTACATCGTTTTTTAACCACAGTTTTTAAGAGAATCACTGCAGTTGTTAAGTGAATCACACAGTTAAGTAAATCTGAGTTCCCCCATTGACTTTTCTTGTTGTAAACTGACTGGGAAGATCGCAAAAGGTGATCACATGATCCCAGGAGGCTGCAACTGTTGTAAATTCATGCCTATTGCCAAGCCCCCAAATTTTGATCACATGATCCTGTGATATAAGTGCGAGGATGGGTCATCTTAATGCTACTGTAGCTTCAAACAGTTACTAAATGAATGATTGCAACTTGAGGACAACCTGTACAGCAGAATAGTATAATTTACCACCACCTTTGTTTCTTATTATATGTAGATTAGAACTCACTTCGGTTCCATCAGATCTAAGAATCCTTCCTCTCTGCTTAACCACGTTTCCTCACTTCCAGGTACATGGTGTGTTTCAAGTACAGGAAGCGCATGCTGCTAAAATCTTTGGGCTATTAATTGCATATATAGGCCAAAAGGCCATTTAAGTGACTTTTCTTCATTCAAAGTATTCTTGATCTTCAGTTGACAAGCCTAAATAAAAGAAATCCATTTGTACAGACAAGAACATTTGTCATTTTTTTTAAGTAGACTAGAACTGCTCTTTTTAAACTATGGCATAAGTTTGCAATCATAAGAGATTTGTGTTTATTATAGGGAAACACAGGGAAGAGGATCAGAAAACAAAATACCAGTCTGTGAGCAAAGGTGCCGTGAAGGTTGTGATGGGATGGTCAGGCTTCACATTCTGAAGGTCTAAGGGCATCTCAGTCAGCAGACGCCACTTAGGAGTGAGGAAGGGGGTAGATCACAGCTAAACATAACGATACAGCTGACTTCTCCAGTACATGATAATGCTAGGAGAAAGGCAGAATTAGTGTCTCTCAAAAATCTTCATGCATGGTACTTGGGGTACAGTACTTGTAGTCACCGTTGGTATGGAAGAAAGAAGAGCAACAAAGATGATCAGGGGACTGGAGGCTAAAACATATAAGGAACGGTTGCTGGAATTGGGTATGTCTAGTTTAATGAAGAGAAGGACGAGGGGGGGGACATGATAGCAGTGTTCCAATATCTCAGGGGCTGCCACAAAGAAGAGGGAGTCAAGCTATTCTCCAAAGCGCCTGAAGGCAGGACAAGAAGCAATGGATGGAAACTAACCCAAGAGAGAAGCAACCTAGAACTAAGGAGAAATTTCCTGATAGTTAGAACAATTAATCAGTGGAACAACCTGCCTCCAAAAACTGTGAATGCTCCAACACTGGAAGTCTTTAAGAAGAGATTGGACAGCCATTTGTCTGAAATGGTATAGGGTTTCCTGCCTGAACAGGGGGTTGGACTAGATGACCTCCAAGGTCCCTTCCAACTTTATTATTATTACTATTATTATTATTATTATTATTATTATTATTATTATTATTATTATTATTATTATTATTATTAAACTAAAATTGCTTTCTATGGGGACTACAGGTTGTTTGCAATACTTACACGCCTATGATCACCAGGAACAACACTCCGCCCATACACAGGACAATGGCCACTCCAGTCCGAGCGATGTCTGGTTCCACCAATGGTTCCCCGAAGCGAAGGGCCAGACGGTCTTGGTTATCAACTAGAAATTAAAAAAACCCAGATTTGGGTTCAAAACAGCAAAACGCAGCCATTTCTCCTTCCCAGGGCTAAAGGTCTACTCCAATCCACCCTTGTTTATTTCTTCTGTACCCTTCAGAGCTTCTCATGCTTCCAAAATGGAAGAGCCAGATTTCTGAAAAAGCATGGAGTTCAGGTTCAGCCCCAGAAAAAAGAACCTTGTGCCAAGACACAAAGGCTCATCTAAATAATAACCAAGGGAGACAAGAGGCCTGCAGCAAAAGAGGATCCTCTGACCGGAAATGGATGGGTACCTCTAGGACAGGGGTAGTTAACCTTGGCTCTTTTATGACTCGTGGACTTCAACTCCCAGAATTCCTGAGCCAGCTAAGCTAAGCTGGGTCAGGAATTCTGGGAGTTGAAGTCCACGAGTCATAAAAGAGCCAAGGTTGACTACCCCTGCTCTAGGAGATAATTAGATAATCTTGGCCTCCTACAAATGTGGCTGAACTGCATCAGGTGCATACAAGTAGCCCTGAACGTACGACCACAATTGAGCCCAAAATTTCTGTTGCTAAGTATGACAGTTGTTAAGTGGACATTTCCCCATGTTACGGCCTTTCTTGCCACACTTTTTAAATGAATCACTGCAGCTGGTAAGTTAGTAACACAGGTGTTAAGTGAATCTATTTTCCTCATTAACTTTATTTGTCAGAAGGTTGCAAAAGATGATCACATGACTTCAGGATACTGAAACTCATAAATATGAGTTAGTTGCCAAGCATCTGAATTTAGATCACATAACCATGGGGATGCCACTACGGTTGTAAGTACGAAAAACGGTCATAAGTGGCATTGTAACTTCAAATGATCACTAAATGAAATATTGTACGTCGAGGACCATCTGTATAGTCCAGCCAGTGGTGAGCAGTGCTGGGAATAGGAGTTCAACAACATCCAGGTTCTGGATTTGTTATTCCAACATAGGAATAATAGTGCCCCTCTTGCATAATATTATCAGATAACATGGTGTAGAATCCTTTGAACATCAAAAAGCATTATAAAGTGGTTTGTTCAGACCTGAAGAATTGCAGTCTTTTAATGTGGTCAGACAGATATACTAAGGTGCCTCAAAACCCTCCTTCCAACAATAACTGTGAAAAAAATTATATTGTACATATAAATGTTCAAATGTTTAAAATCACTCTGAGCTCTTCCTCATCTTCCTGTAAATACAAGTAGTCTTCAGCTTACCACAATTGAGCCCAAAATTTCTGTTATTAAGTGAGTTTTGCTCCATTTTACGACCTTTTTTGCATCAGTTGTTAAGTGAATCACTGCAGTTGATCAGTTAGTAACCCAGTTGTTAAATGAATCTGGCTTCCCCATTGACTTTGCTTGTCAGGTCGCAAAAGGTGATCACATGACCTTGGGATACAGCAACGGTCATAACTATGATTCGGTTGCCCAGCATCTGAATTTTGATCACAGGACCATGGAGATGCTCCAAAGGTCGTAACTGTGAAAAACAGTCATAAGTCACTTTTTTCAGTGTCGTCGTAACTTTGAAAGGTCACTAAATGAACTGTTGTAAGTCGAGGATAACCTGTACAGCATCATTGTGCCCTGTTAACAATTTTTTTATCACATATCCACATGAAACTGCTTTGATACTATAGTTCATTTTATAGTTGCTCCAAATTAGATGCTCCAGTTTTAAAATATAGTTTTACAATTAAATACAATTAAAATATAATTCCTGCTGTGGACATGATCTGATAGTGTGCTTCACTGATGATGTGGTAAATGTCCCAGCTCCTGTTAGTGTCAGGCAAAAGCAACTAGAACCACTCGGAAAGAGTCTTAGCAGGAGTTTTATTGCTAAGTCAACTATGTTACAAACATCTTCCCAGACTGACTCCATTCCCTGGGAACAGCAAGATAAGGCCTCAAGGATTCTGGGGAAGGTCACGTCTGTGCCACATCCTGCAGTGCAATGACTCCAAACTCAGTCCCTTCTTAACACCACCCACCAGCCTACCTGGAGATTCCACTACAGTTACCAACTTTAGGCTACTGGAGCACCTCTCCACCCCTGAAATGACCCCAAACTGAAATGACTTTGCCCTGGGCTGTCTGGAATAATCACACTTGGCTTCTACGAGGTATTTGCTCTTATTAGGTTGACTGGAACCTTCCGGAGCTCGGTGGATCTTACATAGGCTCTTGATATACCTGGTACTGTTTTGAAAGAGCCGTAGACCTGTGTTTAAAAAACAAGACTAGAGAAGGTAATAACTGTGCTACTCAGAAAGTCAGTTTCAACCAGGAATAAGATCCAAAGTTGGGCAGATATACAGTACGTTGCTGGTTCTATCAAGAATTAGTAACCACAGGTTTTACTGCTTCTGCCATCAAGGGATTCGAGAGAGGAGAACACCCCTTTGTATATGCCATTTTGCCTCCTTCCCAGCTACACCTGAATTCGGTCACTGGTAGAACCAGTAGCTAAATTTTGTTGAGTTCGGAGAACCGGCTGAACCCATGCTGCTTTTGGAAGTCCGTTCTAGGCCTCGTAGGCCTGGAGGAGGTCTCCCAGGCCTAGAACAGCCCACAGGAAGTGCATGGATGTCACTTTCAGAAGTCCATTCTAGGCCTCAGAGGCCAGGCCTGCATCCACGCAGAGAACCGGATGTTCAGATATTTGAATCCCACCACTGGTCACTCCATATGATGGAATGTTGTCTGGAGTTGCGGGAGATAGGGGCTCCTTTGCAGAGAGCAAAGAGACAGAGGAGCTGGGAATGTCTGGTGGGCAGGAAGAAGGCAAGGACTCTGTAAACCCCCTAGCAGTTTACAGAGTATATCTATAGTTATGCAGATAGTTGCTTTAGTGTGGCAAGATTCTGCCTGTAGGCAAACAACAATAACTCAGAAGTTCTTGGTTCTTTTGGGCATGACCCTCTACTTGCTCAATGCCACTAGAAGACAGGGTTTGCTCTTTATTGATTGTTCTCTCACACTTTGCTCCCCCCCACACCTCTCCTTAGCATCTGTGACCTGTCAAGCTACTTTTGGACATGGGTTTAGTGCTTCTTCAGAAAAGTGCTAGACTCATGTTCAGAAGCAGCCCAACTAATGGGTAACAGGCACAGAGCATTTCTCAGCTGCAACTTGTTAGTTAGACAATTTGAGAGGTGATTATACCACCTACTTTATAAGCACCAATCTGCACTAGCCCAGCCTACTCCATTATACATTAAGGAGAGCAATTGCTGGTTATTTTTGCTATCAGAGATGACATGGTGCAAGGGGAAACAAAGAAAAGGGAATCCACCAATTACTTTATTGCATTGGTTTCCACATTAAATTAAACACAACTGAGCAGATTAATTACTGAAGCAGAATAGGCTTTGTCAATGAGGGCAGGGCAATTTATGCTGCCATACTGTTTTGCTATGGCATGCAGAGTAAAGGAAAGTACTTTAAAATGGCAGTCTGGTCATGTCCCAAAACAATTTAAGTGCTGCCCTCTTCTGGTCAAAGCAACACACAAACAGGCTTTTGTGCTAGGCTGCATTAACAGAGGGATAGAATCAAGATCACGTGAAGTATTAATACCGCTTTACAATGCCTTGGTAAGGCCACACTTGGAATACTGCATCCAGTTTTGGTCACCACTATGTAAAAAAGATTCTGAGACTCTAGAAAGAGTACAGAGAAGAGCAACAAAGATCATTAGGGGACTGGAGGCTAAAACACATAAGGAACGGCTGCTGGAATTGGGTATGTCTAGTTTAATGAAGAGAAGGACGAAGGGGGACATGATAGCAGTGTTCCAATATCTCAGGGGCTGCCACAAAGAAGAGGGAGTCAAGCTATTCTCCAAAGCGCCTGAAGGCAGGTCAAGAAGCAACGGGTGGAAACTAATCAAGGAGAGAAACAATCTAGAACTAAGGAGAAACTTCCTGACAGTGAGAACAATTAACCAGTGGAACAACCTGCCTCCAGAAGCGGTGAATGCTCCAACACTGGAAGTTTTTAAGAAGAGACTGGACAGCCATTTGTCCGAAATGGTATAGGGTTTCCTGCCTGAGCAGGGGGTTGGACTAGATGACCTTCAAGGTCCCTTCCAACTTTACTATTATTATTATTATTATTATTATTATTATTATTATTATTATTATTATTATTATTATTATTTGAACCAAATCCTGTTTTTCAATCATTCTGTGAAATATTTCTCTTGTGCCTTTAAAACCATCACCTTACAATATTACAAAGAACTATACGACACACCTGTGCGTATACATAAACACATGCAATGAGCAGCATAACATAATAACTTATGCATCCTTACAATCGTGGCATTAAAAAGAACATTTAAAATGTCATGGGTGAGTCAATTCTCAAGCATCCAGGTCATGGTTGTCCTAAAGGTGCTTTTCCAAAAGGCAACTGGACTTTCCTGGGTTTTTTCTTTGAAAATGTTTTACTTCTCAAAGAAAAAAAAGCACCTTTGGGACATGAATTTGGATGCTTGGCAATCAATGCACATTTATGATGGTTGCCAGCATCCTGTGGTCACATGATCTCCCTTTGCAGGTGACCTTCATGGCTGGTTTCCAACAAGCAAAGTCAATGGGGAAACCTGCAGGAAGTTGCGAGTCACGGTCATGTGATGTTGCACTTAATAATCGCAAGTGATTTGGTCAATCACTACAGCTGGAACCGATGTTGTAAGTCAGCATGTCCCTGTGACATTTCACTTTACGACTGCTTCACTTAGTGACACAGTTCTATAAAATTGCAGTTGGTAAATGAAGACTACTTTTAATAGTCCTTTTCCCACCTTAAATTCCAACTTTACTTACCAAAGCACTGACTTAGTGACAAGCAATAGGCCTCTGTTGGCAGGCATCTTCCACAATTAAATACTTCATATTTCAATGTTGCTGCAACAGGGGGAGGATGAGCAACGGTATTATGGGGGGGATAGAGAAAGAAAGTGGGAGAAATTAACTTTTAAAATCTCCACACAAGGAATGACTAGCTCAAGGTAACCCGCCTGCTCCAACCCCAATTCATGCAATAGATGGGAGCAGCTCAAGACAATATATAGGCCCAGCCAATGCACAAAGAACATAAAATAAATTCAGCCCATACTCTGCCATTTACATGAGAAAGGGCTGTGCTGAATTTATGTTATAAAAATAGCAGGAGTGTCTGCAGGATGGAGCCCAACAGTCAAGATGGCAGCTGCAATCATGGGGTTGAAGCTCACCTGTTTTTTAATGTTTGGCCATCTTCAAAGAAGAAATACTTTTTCCCTTTCTATTAATATTTGACATACAGATAATATGCCAAGATTGCTCATAATTTTCTCTTTTGTATGTTTTGCTTATTATCGTCTGTTAAGAGCCGTGGTGGCTCAATAGTTCGAATGCAGTACTGCAGGCTACTTCTGTTGACTGCTGGCTGTCAGAAGATTGGCAGATTCTGACTGGCTCAAGGTTGACTCTGCCTTCTATCCTTCTGAGATTGTTGGGGCCAATAGGCTGACTCTGTAAAATCGCTTAGAGAGGGCTGTAAAGCACTGTGAAGCGGTATATAAGTCTAAGTACTAATGCTATTTTTACATCTTTTTTGTTCATTTATGATTTGGTTTTACTGTTTTAAGCAGTTTACAGAGTCAGCCTATTGCCCCCAACAATCTGGGTCCTCATTTTACTGACCTCGGAAGGGTGGAAGGCTGCATCAACCTTGAGCCAGTCAGAATTGAACTGCTGGCAGTCGGCAGAGTTAGCCTGCAATATTGCATTCTAACCACTGTGCCACCACAGCTCTTGATTCCTTGGTCTGACCCATCTAATGGGGCAAACACATAGATATTGCCTTGGGCCAATTCTCCACATTGTTCAACTTTCCCCAACCTGGTATCCTGTTTTGCGATGATAAGCAAAAATATTAGCCATGTAGCCTGGGATTTCTAGAAGTTCCACATTTAAATGCATCCAGTTTGGGAAACCTAATCTAGCTCATATGGATCAGCTCCCCCTCCCGTTACCCTCCAACAATTCTTTCATCCTTTTGCTGCTCTGTTGTGGTTTGTCACTGTTTGATCCACATGTGTGCAAGATAATTTCCTACACACTTCTGTTTTTTTGCCTTGATCCCCCAGGGGCCACCCCTAAGCTTCTCCCAAGCCACATCCTCTCTTTTCATTATTCAACCACACTAGCTTTTATCTGGCAGACTCTTGTTCCACCCACCCATTTAAAACCAAGCAACTTACCACATATATTTTCATCACAACCTACAAGGAAAGAGATTCCAAAATGAATGCCCATCCCTCCAATAATATATTATCTGTAGATTTTTGTTCACATGCAAATTGTTCCCACATACCCTTCAGCTGCAACACCAAACGTTACAGTTCTACAGAAGCAAATTATGAAGATTTTATACCTTTTCAATCTGTGTAACTATGAAAAATAGCTTGCATAGACAATCTTCAATTTACAATCATTTGTTTGCTGACTGTTCAAAGTTACAAAAGCCCTGAAAAAGGTGACTTATGGCCATTTTTTATGCTTATGACCCATTGCAGCATTCCCATGGCCACGTGATCAAAATTCAGATGCTTGGCAACTGACATGTATTTATGACTGTTGCAGTGTCCCTGGGTCATGTGATCACCTTTTGTGACCTTCTGACAAGCAAAGTTAATGGGAAAGCCAGTTTCACTTAACAACCGTGTAACAAAATTAACCATTGCGGTGATTCATTTAACAACTGTGGCAAGAATGGTTTTAAAATGGGACAAAACTCACTTAACTGTCTGACAATCATAGTCAATGGGGACACCAGATTCACTTAACAGTGTTACTAACTTAACAGCTTTAATGATTCACTTAACAACTGTGGCAAGAAAAGTCACTTAACAACTGTCTTGCTTAACAACAGAAATTTTGGGCTCAATTGTGTTCGTAAGCCGAGGACTATCTGTATATTTGAAAACTTTCATTAAAAACATTCCTAAGTGCCAGGAAGTGTCCAGGAAATTCTTTTCGGTGAGAATATTCAGATGGACAACAGCCTCACAGAAGCTCTAAAAGGCACCATCCACAATAAACATTACAAACTGATTTTTAAAAAATTAATTAGTTTAATTAATTCACTGCAATGTCTAGAGACAGTCTGTTCCATATATTAATGTTATATTGTATGGATTTTTTTCTGCTTGAATGACAGAATAATAATAATTTGTTGATTTTTTTTAATGCTGTCCAGCTCTCACCAGTGCTGGGTGGTTTACAAATTTAAAATAATAAGAAATGTTGCTCCACTTATTATTTTCTTTGCATCACCCATAATTTTAATAATGTAATTCATTTGGATACCACTGATTAATGTTAATTTTAATTATTATTTTAAATTGTTTTTAGCCAAAAAGAAGAATCAGACAAATTCTGGAACAATAAAAAAATATGTTTACCTACACTCTTTCTTTCATTAGCCCCGTTCTAGTCATTTTAGTTTCTAAAACTTGATTATATATATGTATATTTAGCTGTTCCTCTTATGAAAGGCTCTGCATAGATGTTCTGTAGACCATTTTATTGCTTTATACATATATGCATCCATATCTTCTATTATGGAATAGCAAAAGAAAGGACAGGCAAGATTTCCAGATTAGAAAAAGAACTCCTGAAGCAGAAATTAGGAAAGACCCAAAACCTTGTATTTGGTACATCTTTAAGGCTTTCTTGAGACTCATGGTTGCCTTTGTCCGGAAGTCCACCAATTCTTCCAGCAGATCCTCATCTGCAGAAACACCAAGAATTTCTTTCTTTAGAGGGGAAAGACTGGAGAATAGATGATAGATATAGGTAGATGATAGATAGATAGATAGATAGATAGATAGATAGATAGATAGATAGATAGATAGATAGATAGATAGATAGATAGATAGATAGATAGATGATAGATGATAGATGATAGATAGATAGATAGATAGATAGATAGATAGATAGATAGATAGATAGATAGATAGATAGATAGATAGATAGATAGATAATTAGAGAGAGA